CCAGAAACCTTCAGTAAAACTTGGTAAGATATTGCTGCCTTCATTAAATTCTCAGTTTATTAATAATGCTTTAAATGAACTTCTCATCTTTGCCTGTAACTTACAGAGCTTTCCAACAGATTTGCACTGCCCCTAAATTTTATACCCAAGTTAGCTGTGCCCTAACTATCTTACATTTTTATTTAAACTTTAACATGCAGCTGCATCACAGATCATGCCTTAGGTTTTTCTGTTCCTTTCTTGAATTATGATCTTGAAATATTACCTCTGTGCTCTGTTTTATCAGCCGTACTAGTGATAGAGTGTGGCTCCCTTGGAAAAAACAGAAAGAGCTCTATAATTTTTTTGTTATTGCTCAATGTCTAAGTTGTAAATATTATCTAGTCTTAAGCTGTATTTTGATTTTAGGATGTTTTGGAGTGTCTGTGCTAAATTGTAGTTATTGTCAATCACAGCTCTTCAGGATGTTACTGGAACTGGCCCTGGAATATCTTCCAACATAAATAAAAATAAATTTTCTCTTGAGATGAAATATCTTTTTGTAACATATGTAAAGTGTTCTGTATTCTTCAGACAATCTCTAAAAGATGAGCTACTTTGTCACTGACAAGTCAACAAAGAAGAAGGATGCTTTATACTTTAATTAAATGGAATATATAATAGGAACAGGAGACGACTAACTCTTAAAACAGTCCACAGAGAGCTCCAAATAATAAACATCCTACTTGAACTGAGATGATGATAGCTGAAAATGCATTAAGTAGACAGAGAAACAAAAACAAATGAAGGCGAGAACTCAGTCAAGTAGGCTGAAGTGGAGTAAACACTTTGTCAGGAGGGTAGCCCATGCTAGTGCTAATGCGTTTTGCATTAGTATGATGCCTATAAAATACTGACTCCTGGCATCAGAGTTAATGACAAAAATCTACAACAGTTTTACCTTATATACACATGCAGGAACAATAATTCCATAAGAAAGATTCTTATCTATTCTATTTAAAAAAAACCCAACAATATTGCAGCATGTGAAAGAACTGGTAACAAATGGTAAGTGACAATTGTTACATAAATGCATTATGGTTCTGAAGTTGAGCTTTGATCGATAACTGATGAAACAAAAAAAGATCAGACAGTACCAGAAACACACACCAAATCAAGTTGTTATTTTTGGAATGTTGTTCAGAGGACCAGAGTAATCAGGCTAAACTTTTAATAAGAGGATTACATACATATGCGTCAATATTAGGAGGATTTGTAGCTTCATTAGCAACTTCAGAGGAAGTAATACCTTCATGTGTGCTACTGACTAAAATGGAATACTTTCTGTGGCTGGGTGAGGTTTGTAAAAGAAATTTCAGCCCTGGAAGGTTATACAGAGGACAATGGTAAGTGTCTAAAATCATTTCCAGCCAGTCTTATCATCTTGTCCCAAGTCTGTATCACTGGCAGTCAGGGCCCAGCCAGTACTTGCTGCAAGGTGAGGAAGAAGGGCCTGTAGGCAATACTGTAAAGGGGAGGGGAGGGCTGCTGGCTGCTGAGCCCGCAGGGATCTGCTCCTGAGTGGAGCCGCTGTATATGAGCTGTACAGCCAGAATCCCTAGCAGTGGTGTCATCTGGCCTTGAACCCGTTGTCCCTGGTGCTCTTTCCTCTGTGGCCCAGAGTTGGTACCTGGCTGCTTGGGCTGTTTTTCAAGGACAACAGGCCAGTGAGAATGTGACTTGAGAAGCTGTCAGAGTGTGCCTGCATCATGGTCTCCTGCATTTGGAGCACTTAGAGCGTAGCTGGTGAGTTAGAAAAGCAGGCAGCATGGAAATTAGGCTAAAACCGAGGTTAGAGGAATACAAAAAGGGCTTTAAACTGTCCCTGGAGCATTTGCAAATTTGCTGGTTGTTCCTTCTTTTTGCAGTGAGTAGAGTAAGGCAGAAGGAAATTAAAGGACTTGTCCAAGATGAGAGTAAGTCATGTTGAAAACAAGATTAAAAGCTTTGTCTTCATCTCCAGGGTTATGTCTTTCTAAACTCTACAAGGAGAGGGTTTGAGAACTCCTCTATGTAAAGAACTACAGCTGATGCCAACTGAGCCATACATAACAACAGACTGGCTGACTCGGAGCTTCAGTTGCGTCTCGCCAAGCTTGAGTCTTGGCAGGGAGGTACAAACTTATTCCATCAAAAACTCATGGCTGCTAGGCTCAGATCTTTCAGATCATAACATTTTGGAGTGTCCAAAAGCACGTTTCTGCCAATGCTTACAGCATATTATCACTTAGCACTGGCATAGGTGTTTCAGAAATTCTTGTTAAACAGCTCTTAAATGATCTGCCCTTTATGTCCTTAATTAGAGGAATTTTTTAATTGCCTGCTTTTTGCACTGCTGAAGTAGATTGAATTCTTATTTGGCTGTGATAAAGATGTATATTGTAAACCTCTATGAACTATGGGTTTAGGTCTATATATAAAGCAAAAGTAGTATTCCATCTGCCTTTCTTCCCTTTTGGAATGCATTAGCCTTATTTTTGTCCTCCACCTGGTTCCTTTCTGCGACTCCCCAGGTTTTTCATTTTCACATGTGGATACCCACTAAGGTGCCCACCAAGTTCTTGGATGTATAGCTCAGTGGTTGGGCGCTTCAGTTTGCAGATTTTGCAAAAGTTTGAAGCCTTTAATTTGTATTTATTGATTTATTTATGTTAGGAATCAGCTTTTGATATTTGATACTTTGTATTTGAAATGAGGACGGTGTATTCATATGGTTTCGGTGAGAAAGTGTATCATTCCTCGGGGTTTTGGGCTCTGGCAGAAGTGTGCTCGGGCTCTTCATGTGATAGAAGAATGAACCTGAATTGTATTCATATGGTTTCGGTGAGAAAGTGTATCACATTGGGGCAAGGCAGAATAATTCCTCAGGATTTTGGGCTCTGGCAGAAGTGTGCTCAGGCTCTTCATGTGATAGAAGAATGAACCTGAACAGCACTGATGTCTGTAATTTCTTACCTAGAGAGAGACATGAGAAATTATTTCCTTTCTCACGTGCAGTAAGATCACTGCTGTTGTCCCTCTCAGGTACTCAGCACACAGGCATACTTGGTCTCCTCTGTACTTAACAATACTTCAGACCTAAGTATGGAATAAAAATTACCATTACCTAGGCCATTTGCTTACCACCGATCTTAAAATCTCCAGCATCATCCTAGTCGTGTTGCTTTCAGTGCTTCCATTGTTTTCTTTTGCACATGATGCGATTGTTGTTCAGCTGGCCATCACTTGTATCTGACAGTGAGATATGCAGTGGGATAGCTCTGTAATGTTTCCATCCAGCAGTTCCTTTCACTTTCTTTCACTTTCTTGAATCTTTTCGTGCTTTATTTTGTCAAAAAATTTTGAGTTCAGCTACTCTTTGTCCAGCTGAGATTTTTTTTTCAGAGGTGATGCATGAAGCTGTTGCTGGGGGCCCTCATGATGATGGGTTTCTCGGCTTCGGGTTAAGAAGGCCATGGTAGTGTCTGGGGGACTGAAATGGAGAGAGAAAATAAACAGTATATGTAACTTTAAGGAGAGGATATAGTATACACCATTCTTAAACACTGCTAAAACACTTGAAAGTTTTTGTAGTAATTCTTTTCCATAGATGTCACAAGGAAGTTGTGTGGTCATGAACGGGAAAGCAGGGTGATTCATGAAGCTGCAAATGGGAGAACTGGCTTAGAGTCAGAGGCTTTAATATCTGCTGGGGGGTTAGCTGGGGAGAAGCTCTATCTTATTCCCATGAATTTTCAGAAAACTTTTTGGAATGCCGTCAGGGCTTCACTCTCCTGTGCTTGCTTATAGACCATTTCTACATGTTTTTTGTTCTTGCATCTAAATAAAACCCAAAGTCCTGGTCACAGACAGCCATCAATAATTGCTCAAAATAACTTCTTGCACAAGGGTTCTAGTTACACAGTTATGCTTGGCCTACAGCAAGTTTGTGTGGCAATTTCAGTTAGAGAAAATATTTTTTATTTACTGTTTTTAAGATATCAGCAGTATTGCAGTGCTTTATAACCATTTTATACAGTTGGTACAGCACATTTCATTAGCTGGGAAGGGAGCTGTGACATTATCATGCAAAATGCTGCCAGTCTTGCTCTGTGGAGTAGTTGCATCCAAGGTACTGAAGTACTCACACAAGTAAAACTAAGTTTCAGGGGTATGAAGTTGTTCTCCTAAATGCGATGACTTAACAGCTCAAGATAAAGTACTGCCTGCAGATAGCTTTTTCTGCAAGATCTACCCTATCTTCCGTGTAATGAAAAAGGAATTTTAAATGAATGTATTTGAATGTATACTTGAATGAGCTACTATTGTTTGTGCGTATCTTTTGTTCACCGTTTAGATACACTAATAAGAACCTATTAGTTTCTATTTAAGATTTTTATTTCATGATTACAGGTGAAACCATGAACAAAGGAACTGCTACAAAATTGTATTTTTGTCTGTTTCCTGTTGCTTCTGGTACTTGGAACATAAGATTTTTATTCAGTCAGGGTTAGTCTTGGGTGAACTAAATGCAGGTCTACTTACGATTTAGTAACTAGCCTATGCATTTGCGCTGAAAAATCTTGCTGCTGGAAAACATCCTAATAGCTGCTCAAATTATTTATGCTTTGGGTTGACTTTGTAGCTTAACCATGGCTTTTCTTTCCTTTTGTGGATTATGGTTTTTAGTGATTATTTTGTTTGAGGTTGTCAGAGAGATCATAACATTGTCAGGAGGCAGAGGAGCCATATTTTTAACTATCGAACACTGTTCAGGTAAAGCCAACAGTATGAATGGGTACCTGTGCAAACCTACGTCAGTAAGGGCAAACAAGCATTCCTGAAGCAAGATATGAAGAAGCAGAAATAAAAATATGATCAGGACTTTACACCCTCTCTTCTGAAATTGTAGTATTTCACGATACAGTGTTTATGTATCATTTGTCATGGGTTTCCGTTTCTTATGGTTTGTTTTGTTTCAGCCTCTTGGGGCCAGTGACTATTTGGAGATATCAAAGCATTTTGACACGGCCTTTGTTCGTGACATACCACTTCTTACAATGGCAAAAAGGACACAAGCTCGTCGTTTCATTACTCTTATTGATACCTTTTATGAGCATAAGGTGAGAACCAAGCCTTTCCTATATGTAGAGGTATAATATTGGGAGCCTTAAACCCTGACTGTAAGCATTGGTTTGAAGTAAGGCTTTCTGTAGTAATGATTTGGAAAAAATAAGCAGAATGAACTAGCACTGCAATGAAACATCATTCCAGCTTCACAAAAAGGCCCCATTGCAATAAAGGCAAATAAGCAGGGTTTTTTTGTTTGTTTGTTTCTTTGAGTATTAAGCATGACAATAAATATAAGCCTGAGCTCATTTGCCTTTCTTGAATAGGGATGTTATTTCTTTCCTAACCCAGGAAAACCGCAGAAGCCATGTCATCATTTTAATAATGAAAGATTGTGCTACCAATTACACTGGAGTAAATTTAAATTTTTAAAATTTTAATCTGTATGAGCAGTTGGTTGAGAGTCAGTGCCTTCCTGAACAGGGTACTGAGGAGTTAATAGTATAGTTAATAGTATAGTTACATTGTTAAGTTTAAAGGAAACAGTCACTGTAGGCTTTATGTTAGGTTGCAGAACTGCTAATGGAATAGTAATGATAAATGCAGCACCTCATGTGGATTTACAGAGGTTTCAATCATGGGAGCAAAATCAGCGCTACTAGAACAGAGAGAAGGTTGTGTTTAAGATGATTTTTTAAAAGTAATATAAGATATGAAACCCTGTCTTATGTGTGATTATATATGCACACACTTAAATATTTATGCAATCAGGAAATATCAATGGAGATTTTTTTTCCAAGAATGTCCTGGGTAGATTATCAGAAAGGCCCTGATTCAGCAAGGTATTGAACTCATTAAACATATAAGTAGTCTCATTCAAGTCAGCCAGATTCTTTGTGCTTTATGATTTGGAAATGGACAGTTTCTAAGAGAATATGCTAATATTTATAAACTAATAAGAGTTGTGTTAGAAATGTAGTCTGCTCTATCTACATGTTGTCATTAAGAACTGCAAGCAAACAGCTGCTTTCTATTACTTCCTCCATAGGAAAAACACCACTGTTGAACTCCCATCACAAGGTGTGGGAGAGCATATTTGTGGAGACCTGTCCATGCCACAAACATTTTGCCTGCATGCTCTCAACAAGTATCCCCTGTAATAATATTTCAGTCTGTCTTCACTGCAGCCCCCCCAGAGATCCTGTATCTCACTGCACATTGTATCTCCTCCCAGCAGGCATGAAAGCAGCGTCATTATTGTTATTGCCAAATAATGTGCACTTGAGTAGCATAGGTGAAAGCAAGAGTGGCTCCACTCAGCCCTCTGGGAAATTTGGAATTTAAACACTCTTTAGATGGAAGTATGTGTGCAGTGCACTTAGCTACTGAGAGGAATCTAACTATGGGGGGAAAGAAAGCATTGGTTACTATATAGCTGGTATTCTATAAAGTAAACTTGATTGTGAACTCATTATCTGTATAGCAGATATTCTGAGTATTTAGTAGCACAGGTATGCTCTTCCCTGAGCAAAAGTTACGTGAGTTGTTACTGAGAAAAAGATCCTGTAAGGTTAATATTCCAAATGATCAAGTCAGGTGAATCTGCAACAGCAGTGCTAATAAGAGAAAGGGAAAATACCTGGGGGGGGGAAAAACCCAAGGTCATAATTTGAAGTTTGCTTTTCATAAAACATGTATCTTATCCCTTTCCTGTAAAGGCCAAGTGATGATACTGTTGCCTGTTTTCCTTCTCTCAGGTGCGTATTATTTGTTCTGCAGTGACTCCTCTCCAAAGCTTGTTCCTGGTAGAACATGACAGTGGTGAGCTAGAGGACCACAGAGTGTTGATGGATGATTTGGACTTAAGCCAGGTACAAGATATTGATGTCATCTCCCTTTTGTAACAAAATAGGTTTTGGTCGCGTAATTACAGCAGCATTTTAGGAAGAGGAATCAAGTAAACGTTTAACTTGTGATTTGCTGCTTTTTCTGCAGTGTATCTGTTGCTCTCATAATTGCATGTTATTTATTCGTAGTCAAAGAAAATGTCACTATATATATAACCATTTTGCACAAGTTTTAGGGTCATTCTGACTGTTAATCGTATCTATTCAATCATGTATGAAAATACTGACTGAAGTTTAGGTCCTACGTTTAAAATACAGAAACAAAAGGTGGTCTGTTCTACCTCTTCTCTAGACTATCTAGGACTGCCTCACAAATCCTCACAAACAGTACTATTTTGCATGTTGCTTATTCTGTTTTTCCTTTTCCTTGTAACTTATTGTTAATGAATTTTTAAATGATTTGACTAAATCAGTACACCGTCAGTCAACAGAAAAGTGAAAATAGATGGTTAACATGCTATCGTGTTGTTTTAAACCCAAATTTTTGTTTTGCTATGTTTCTTCACAGGATTATCTAGCTGAAATAGGTGTTTAATTTTTGGATGTTAATTTTACTTTTTTTGGTGCCATACTGCTGTCTTATATTGTCAAAACCTGTAAAACACTCAGCCTTAGGAGTTAGATGGGGTGCACTTCAGTACAGCTATGCCTCTTACAGTTCTGTGATACTGTTTTTGTGTATTATGTAGGATTCTGCCAAAGGACTCTCCATGTTTACAGGGGAAGAGGAAATCTTTGCCTTTCAGCGTACCATCTCACGGCTTACAGAAATGCAAACGGAACAGTACTGGAAAGATGGGGACAGAAGCAAAAAACCATTATAATTACAGGTTGAATAAAATCACCAAGAAGTAAAACTACAGAATTGGAAAGCTTTTTAGCACAACTGAAATAATAATTGCACTTTATCATCTGGACCATGTTTTCTTTCATCGGTTGTTTTTTGTGCTTAAGGCATGAGGACTTGGTTATTGTTCCGTACCACCGTGTGTGGACGTGTGAAATTTTGCTGTAATTTTCTTTTCTGTAAAATACAACTTTGATGTTCAGGAAGTTTAATGGGATTAGAATTTTTCTGGAGAACTGGTCTAGAGACAAAGTTAATGGGCCATGCAGGGTTCACAGTAGATTTATAACGGCACGCAAAGAGGGCACTTTGTGGTTTATGCGCTGCTTCTGTCATGTACGATGCAGTTTGCACAAAAAAAAAAATCAAATGCTTTCTTTATGAAACTCCGGATATTGTATAGGTCCCTGCTAGAATCCTGGAACTCCTCTGTAGTGTATTCTGGTTTGGTTGTGGTTTTTTTTTTCCCCTATTTTCTGTGTAGCTGCTTGCTGATTTTCAGGCTCTAAGAGTTTCTTGTAATCACGCTGTTGCCCAGTCTGGTTCATTGAAAACTAACAGTTTGAGCCACGAGAAGCCTGAGAAGTTGCTGGAAGGTACTTGAAGCCACACAGGCTTAAGATCTGAGTAATCATGGATGGGAAAAGAAACTATGATAAGACAGGGTATACCGTAACATTTAAGTGCAAGTTAATACTCTTTCTAAATTTTGTGGTTCTTGCAAGCCTGGATATGCTGCCTCTACACCAGTGACATCTCTCTACCCTGGATTTTCTCAGGCTTCATCTGCCCCAAACCTCCATTGCTGCTAGCGCACCTGCTCTGGTCTGGGGAGAGCAGTCACTACACAGAACTGCTGAGGCAGTTCATCGTGTTACCATCGTACTGCATTTTATGGAAAAGATGGGGTATTAACTGATTCCCCAAAACACATCACCCATCCTTGCTGTCGTGGTTTAACCCGGCTGGCAACTAAGCACCACGCAGCCTCTCGCTCACTCCCCCTCCCTCAGTGGGATGGGGGAGAGAATGGGGAAGGAAAAAAAAAGGTTAGAGCTGTGGGCTGAGATAGAGACAGTTTAATAAGAGAAAATAGTAATAATGAGAATGGTAAGAGAATATACAAAATGAATGATGCACAATGCAATTGCTCACCACCTGCCGATCGATGCCCAGCCCATCCCGAGCCGCGATCAGCCCCCGAGCCGCTATCACTCTCCCCGCAACCGACTAACCAACTCCCCCCGAGCATGACGTTCTATGGTATGGAATAGCTCTTTGGTCAGTTTGGGTTAGCTGTCCTGGCTGTGCTGTACTCCCAGCTTGTCATGCACCTGGCCGAGCAGAAGCTCAAAAAGTCCTTGAGTAGTCTGAGCACTGCTTGGCAACAACTAAAAACATCAGTGTGTTATCAACATTCTTGTAGTACTGAATCCAAAACACAGCACTATGCTAGCTTCTATGAAGAAAATTAACTCTGTCCCAGCCAAAACCAGGACACTTGCATTTGTAGTTGGAAACTTCCTTTTAGTTAAAAATTCAATTGTGTCAAACAAAATATGGTATTGCGCATATTGGCTTATACTAGTATAAACTGGTAGTTTTATAAAAAGTAGTTTTACGAGCATATTTAGAAACCCCAAATAGGGAAAAATACTATGCAGATGGACTGAAAAGATTGCCCTAATTTCTTAAGGAGGAGATGTGTAACACACTGTCCCCAAATTGAGGGTTTTTCTTAGATTTTGCAACATGACCTTTTTCTTGTACTGTATATGTTACCAAGAATATTCTTCCCTGCCTTTGTTAAGCCTGATTAAGTTGTTTCAGTCATAACCCCTGTCACAATTACAGAATGCTTTTAAAAAAGGACTTTGGGGGGTGGGGAGGACTGGGGAGGTCCTGTGCCCTTGCATGTGTTACGGCAATACAAGTACTTTGGAGCCACGTGCTCAAGTTTTGTTTTCTGTTCTGATCACTTCTCTTTGCCCTGGAAGTTACTTCTACTGCCTGTGCCTGTTCTTCAAAGAATTGTTAAAGCCTTATTGTTTACAACTTATGCAACTATGTTGCTTTTCTCACAAGGGTAACTACCTTGGAGAATTTTAATGCATATTTATGAAAAACCCAATCAGAATACATTGCTTATACTTAAGAATATCTGAATAATATGTATTTTCAGAGATTTTTATTAGGTTTCTCAACAGAGGGACTATTGAGATTCATGCATGTGTGTCTGTATATTCACACATATGTATACTTAATTTATATCTATATATAAATATAGAAAAAACAAATATATATAATTTAAGTGTGTGTGGTTGCATATTTATAATGTCAGCCTATACTCATCAGCCTGGGCCTGCACTGATAACTCCCCTGAAGCTTCAGCCCTGACTTTTTTCCTAGCAGTGTTCAAATGCCTCCTGCCTTGCCAGAACCAGAATGTATTGTGGGAAAATGGGAGCTGGCGGTAGATACCCTAAAGCATCTTGCGTCTGGATATTTATTTGCATTATTTTAAAAGCTGTTTATATGTGTAGCCTGTATGTCTTCCTCCGTCATGTGGTACAGGGGAAATGCATAGTCTTGCAGAACACGGGTGAGACGTTTGGGACGTGTGAGAGAGGAGGTTCTGGGAGGTTCTGCATTCCCACGGAGACTGTCTTGGGCCAGGGAAGGGAAGCGTTTCTCCACGGTCTGTGTGGGTGATGACTGACCTCATTTAACCCAGGGGCTCCTTGGAGCCCCCTGGCCAGACGTGCTTGTGCTCCAGCTGGTGCAGCTTTGCCTATCAGTATTTGAGGCTTTTCTGCAATCTCAGCACCCATCCCAAACTGAAAGCCCAGGTTTTTGGAAAGCTCCTAAATGCAGTGGGAGTTGGGTATCATTGAAAGCCTCCTGACACGTAGGTGAGCTCTGTCAAACCACAGGAGGGAAGTTCCCAAAAGTTTCCAGAGCCAGCACTGCTTCCAGGGCATATTCCTAAATAAAACCACAGTGCAGTCTTTCCTTGGCCAGCAAGGAAGCCGTCTGTTGAGAGTCATTGGTAGGTGCCAGTAGTAATCAAGGAGAAAAAATGCGGAATATTCCAGAAGGGTTTTGGGGCTGAAAGGGTCTGTAAACAAGAAAAGCTACTTAAATCACTGTGCAGTATTTGTGGTTGCACTGCAGAGTGTGGGTTGCCACTTTTAGGTCAGGACCACAAGGAAAGATTGATGGGACCAATTTGTCAGCCAGGCCAGATGCCGGGGCAGAGATGGCCGCAGTAACCACAGAAGAAGCAGATTTATGCCTGCCCACTTCCCGGAAGGAAGGGAGGCCCTATATACTTATTTTACAATGCTGTTAATAATGCTGTAGCATGCATAAAGTCTCTTTCCACCAGTGAATTTAGGGGAGGCTTTTTCTGAGGCCAGACAGCTCCCAGGCAACTAGCGCTGGCCAGAATCTGTCGCTGGGGCACAATGGACAGGGCTGGGTATGCCCTGCCCCAGGGCACGGGGTCGCCTGTGCTCCCAGCAGTCCTGTCCCCTGCTGCCTGCCTTGCTCCTCGCTGCTGTCAGGTGGCACCAGTCTGTCGCTTTTTATTCCCACTTTACAATGTTTTAGTTGCCAAAACGTAAACAGTGAGATGCCTGTGAATAAATTACACGCACCCCTTAATGGCCTTAAAATTGCAGGATTTGGGCTGGATGCTTCTATCCCAAGTTCAAGTATTGGCTTTTTAGGTTTTTCTTAACTTGCAGATTCATGTCATCTCAGATCTGCAACATGTTTTTATTTCCCTTTTAGTCATTCAGCAAACATTATTGCTGAGTTGCTTTTAAAGGTCTTTTCAAGTAACCTTATTGATGCAGTGTGATATTTTGCTGTCACAGGAAGTAAAATCCTTGTGATTATGAACCATGTGAAACCTTTTATGTTGGTTTATAAAGGCTACGTCCTGGCTGAGAATCTCTCACCTAACTTTTTTCAAATACTTGATTGACGAAGGAATGTTCCCAATGCCCGAAAATTTAAATTACAGCTTCTGTGAGCGTAGTTACTCTATCCATATAGACATTTTATCTTTAAAGCTGTATTTTCATTTTGCATTCCTGTGCAGTAGCTCTTACTTACCTTTTTTTATAAATAATGCAATTCTGTCTTTCAAGGTTACTGGTTTTCTGCATTTACCTTTGCACGGATCGAGGGAACAGTTGCAGTATTTCGGGTGTAACGAGACAGCCGCCTTCCACAGGTCTTTGGAGGGACTGAAGATGCGCTTCTTGCCGTTGTTGCTTTTTGATCTAAAAAAAGAAAACCGTTAATGGCTTTTTTTTGAGTAAAGTTGGTTGTAATTACACTATAGCTGGATAGATGTCACCTATCGTGCAGCAGTTTAAACATGAAAAAACCTGACCAGGCTTCAGACAGTGCTCAGCGCAGTCACCAGCCGTCTAGCAAGGAGGAAGACTCGTCTCTCCATCAAGACCTGTCTAAGAGGATCGAGATCCAGGAGTTTTCTGTCTGAAGTTACCTGGATGTGAATAATCCCAATGCCTCAGTTTCCCTGTTGCTAAAGTGGGAACGATCTTTATTATTTCCTAACGCTGGAGTGCTGCCAGGCTTCACAGTTTCCCTGTTGCTAAAGTGGGAACGATCTTTCTTTATTATTTGCTAACGCTGGAGTGCTGCCAGGCTTCGCTCATTAATATTCTAAGATGCTTGCTGAGGCTCTGGGATGAAAATACTTCAGTAAAGTATGTAAATAGTGCAAAAAATAATTTAGCTACTCAAAGTGGATTCGCTTCCTTGTTTGGGTTACGGAATTAATGCCATCAACTAAACACCATGTGCCTCTTTCTAGTGATGATTTTTTTTTTAATAATGCATCTATTTTAAAGAATTCTGAGGTTTGTGATTAAAACCCTAACCAATTCATGTGGTTTTTCTTCTACCTGTAATGACAAATTTCCTATATGATTTTTTACAACCTTTGCTCTTGTAATTGTGAGCTATGGTGGCTTTGTAAATTCTGTTGGCATTTTCCTTGTATACTGAGAATTTTTTTAAATGTGTCATTTTGAGACTAATATATAACAAACTAACTACTGTTAAGGCCTTCTGTTATTTGAGGAGAATTTATGTTGTAATAAAGAAAAACTAATAAATCCAGATTTTATAAACATTTCGCTTATTATTCATGCTATTTTAAGGTATCTGCTCTGAATAGATAGGCCTTGCATTAATTTCTTGGGGGGGGGGGGGC